CTTGCACTTGGGGCATAGGAATAGCTGTCATAAGTACAGGTTAGGTGACAAGTGGCTGGAGAGCAGCACTTGTGAAAGGGACCTCGGGTGCTGGTTGACTGCAGGCTGAACATGAGCCAGCCGTGTGATGTGGTGGTCAAGAGGGCGAACGCCACCCTTGGCTGCATAGCCAGAAGCGTGGCTTCTAGAGTGAGAGAGGAGTTACTGCCACTCTGTATGACTCTGGTGCGCCCACAACTGGAGTATTGTGCTCAGTTTTGGGCCCCTCGTTACAGGAAGGATATAGCCAGTTTGGAGTCAGTGCAGCGTAGGGCCACAAGGTTGGTGGCCGGTTTGCAGGGGATGCCGTATGAGGCGAGACTGCGGGAACTGGGTCTCTCCAGCCTGGAGAAGAGGAGACTCAGAGGGGGTCTGTTGACGACATGCAGGTATGTGAGGGGGTGTCACACGGAGGTGGGCAGAGACCTGTTCTCCCCTGCAGAGGAAGGCAGGACGTGCTCCAACGGAGCAAAGCTCAGGGATCCCAGGTTCCATTTGGATGCCAGGAAGCACTTCCTGACCGTTAGGACCCCGAGGGTGTGGAATGGGCTTCCACGAGAGGCCGGTGAGGTCCCATCGGTACGGGTGTTCAAAGATAGGCTGGACATGCACATGGGAGGCATGTTCTGAGCAGTGCTGGCTGGAGCCAAGGGTCAGACTAGATGGCCCAGGAGACCCCTTCTGACTCGCTCTGTTTTTATGTTTCTCTGGAAGCTACTCTCTGCAGGCTGAAATTATGGGTGATGGCAGAAATATTGCTTTCCCTGACACGCTAGCTTTCTAGCTGCAGGGATTTGTGCATTTATGTTTGGCCTGGGTGAGCCCTCATGCAGGAACCCCAGTTACTTGAACTGGAAGTGGTACTGCCCAGGCACAGGTTTACTAATTCAGTGAGAACTAGACCTTTTCACACTGCCGCTTCTTGCCTTCAGGCTGTTCTGTAGGCCTTCTATCCTGTTGCATTTCTGGGAACAAACCTTAGAATTCCAAGCAACACGGGATTTCGTTGCTGATGGACATTTGCCTGCGGTCAACAAGCATGAACTTAAAAGAACAGAAATGATTGCATAATGTAATGAGTCATGAAAAGGGCCTTGGAGGAGGAAGAGCTGAGCCTGTGTATGGGCCTCTAACATCACTGGTTGAGTAAAGCAGAATAAATGCAAAAAGTGAAGCCCTCAGAAATCTGTCCTGAAGCAGAAATAGATAGTCCCCGGGGTATGAAGTGCAAACCACTGGTGCAGATCAGGCCTGGCTTCTAACGGAATGAAACTGCCACTACTGCTGAGCCAAGGGACCAGCCTAGTCTTTTTGTATGAAAGCAACCCAGGATAAAGAGGAGACTTGTTTGGTTCTGCCAAGGTGTAAGGCCACTCTCTCCCACCCTCGTGTCTCCTCCTGGGGGAAGAGTCTCCCCCAGAGCTGCTTATTAGCACCGCTCTTATGGACTTGCCTTTAAAATCCTGAGAAGAAATTAACCCCGAGCTTTCACCTTTGGGGGGGGGGGGGCGTGACCCTCACCATCCAACACTGCTAAACAGCACCTACCAATCCTTCTTGTCTCTGTTTTTCATCCTTATGAAAATGAGGGATTTATATCTATTGTATATGCAGCTAATTATGCATATGTTCACCACATGCTTTCAAAACAGCTCCAGTCAGGTCCTGGCAACGATCTCAGCTTGCAGATTTGGGAAGTATAGAGTAGATCACCCGTCCTCCTCTTCCAAGGCTGACTGTACTGAATTTTCTTGTCTCTGTTCCCCTTTCAGTCAATCTTCCGAGCGCCCAAGAAATGGTGGCGAGGCTTCTGGTGAGAAATGTTTGGGAAAAGCGTTGCTTTCCTTGGGGAAAAAAGATGGAAGTGTTGGATCCCCCTTCCACTGGCCATTTATGGTTTATGGCATTCAGGAGCTTCATTCAACATTCATGGCACAGAGCTATTCGCTTTAGTGCTGCAGAAACATTGCGCAGACCCAAATTTCCAGGGGTTGAAGCAAAAGGAGGAGGGTGTGAAACTACTTCCTCGTTGTCATATTTCGGGGTGGGGTAAATTCCAACGGCATCGAAGCAAAAGGGCATCCTCGTCTTGCTTAGCCCTCCTGCTCTCTGCCCTTTACTCTCACAACAACCTTGTGAGGTCGGTCGAGCTGAGAGTCTGTGATGGGAACTCCTCGAACTCAGATTGCTTCAGTATTAGGCCAACACTCTAACCATTAGACTGTATTGGCTCGCACAACAACCCTGCCAGGTTGGTTGGACTGAGAATCAGGCCTGTCCCAAAGCCGCCCGTGAGGCTCGTGGCCAAGCAAGGACTCGAACCCAGATCTCCAACTTCCCGGTCCAACTCTCTGACCATTACATCATACCACCTCTTTGAGAAATTCACATCTCCCAACATCCCCCACCAGCACAGGCAGCGGGGAGGGACGGTGGGGCGGTGGACCAAACCCCCGGAGGGCCGCGGGCTGCCCGAGCACCACGGGGGCATGTGCCGGGCCCGGCTGCTGAGCGGGTCCGGTGCTTTTCCCGGCCGGCAGGTCCTGGCCTCCAGCCGCGGCCCGCGGGCGCTGTGGGCCCTGCAGCTGCTTCACACCCTGCACGGCAACATCCACCCCGCCCTGAGGAACCTGTGGGCACGGCAGGTCCCGTGTCTCTGGGAATCCTTCCAAGGTAAGCACCCCTCCCGACCGGCAGCGGGGCGGGGGGTCCCCGAGAACAGCCCCTGCTCCCTCCCAGCGATGCCCCTCCAGGGGCCTCCTCCCACCCGGGACCGAGGCTGCGGTGCTGGGGAGGCAGCTCCCCGCGTCTCGCCGCTGTCCCGCTGCACCCGTGGCGCGCAGGGCCCTCGCTCGGGGCCTCCCAGCGCGGCCGGCGGCTGGGCGCTTTTGTGGAGATGGCGGTGGGAAGTGCTCCAACTCTTTCCTGGGACAAAAGGCAGAAACGGGCCTCCCGCAAAGCCAGGCTCAGGGGCAGCTGGGCCAGCTGCGTTTGTCCCCTGGGAAGTTGCCACCCATCACAGCCCGCCCGGTGCCCCCTGCCCCCTAAAGTGCCCCATGGCTCCAGATGCCGCCACAGACCAGGACCAGGACCAGGACCCGGAACCATCACCCTCCGTGGATTCTGCTCTTGGCAGCACTTGTGGCAAGCAGGGCCGTGCCGCAGAGGGGCTTCAGTGGCCCGTTTTTGTTCTCAGAGAGTCCTCCCAATTCATTTTTGATGCACGCTGTGTCCAGATTTAAGAAAGAGGCAGGTAAATCAGAAAGGGTCCAGCAGAGGGCAACAAAATGATCCGGGGTTTGGAAGCACTGCCCCGTGAGGAGAGGCTGAGAGGACTGGGCATGTTCAGCCTGGAGAAGAGAAGATTGAGGGGGGACATGGCATCCCTCTATAAGGACCCCAAAGGCTGCTGCAAAGAGGGAGGTCAAGCCCTCTTCTTGCTGATGCCAGAGTGCAGGACACGGAATAATCAGTTCAAGTTGCAACAGCCCAGATTCAGGCTGGACATCAGGAAAAGCTTCCTCGCTGTCAGAGCAATGAGACAGTGGGACCAGCTGCCTGGGGAAGTGGGGGGCTCTCCCACACCAGAGACATTCAAGGGGAAACTGGGCAGCCATCTGGGTGGGACGGTGTAACGTGGTGTCCTGCAGCAACAGTGGGGTGGACTGAATGGCCTTCATGGCCCCTTCCAGCTCTGCTATGATTCTCTGATCTCCAGGTCTCTGATATTACTTTGGTTGCTAATGATCTGCATGACATTTAATTGTTCGGCCGATTATGGTGCTCATTGCAAATGGAAAGGCAGGAGGATCTTTTCACGGTCGACAGACGGACGTGACCGACAGATTTCTGCTACGATGGAGGCAGGCTGGCTGTCGACGGGAAAGCGCAGCAAGGGTTTCCTTTCTCCCTCTGGAGCGGTTCGCGCTCAGCGAAGCTAATTCAAGTCATGTTGTCTTTTCCCACAGGGCTCAGCAGCCATGAATGGGAGCAGAAGCTACTGAAGGTAGCGAACCGCCTTGACCTGGGACAGCTTGGGTGGTGTCCTTTTGAGAGGCCCAGCGGGAAGCCCGAACATGCCAGCCAATTTCCCACTGCGGGGTCAGAATCTGGGTCTCCCAAGTCCCAGCCGTTCATGCTTAACCACTACACTGCACTGTCCCCCAGTCTGGTCCAGGCCTGTTGTTTGACAACTCCACACTCTTTCAGAGCTAGCGAATATAAGGGATGGTGGCTAAAAGCAAGGCCCATGCAGCCGTAATATTTTGCTTCGTCTCCAGTTTCTGAGAAGGTCCCTGGAGACCATCGCGGACAGTATTTGGATTCAGAGTCTGAGCAGGGAACTGGAGAATCAGATGCCCAGTTACGCTGATCAGTCGACAGAAAAGGTCTGCCATTCTCTATCCACGCGTACCATCCAGACGTTTCTGCTCTGTTCCAAGCAAAGTTCCCCCTCCTGTTTCGTCCGTGTTCCTCCAGATTTTCCTGTACAAATCTTTGGGCGTTTCGCTGACAAGCTGCGAGGATCCCGTCTTCGTTCAGAGTCGGTTGCAGCATTTGGTAGAAAATGCCGACTATATGGTAGAGTCCGAGAGAGAGGTGAGCTACCTGCACTCCCCGTCTTCCGATTCTGGCCCTCTCTGCATCATTTCTGTTTGTTCGATTCCTTTGCTTTTTTCACATGGCAGAAAGTCATCCAGGTCGTCTCTTTCTCAGCCGTGGGCCATTTGGACTTAACGTTGGCCATTTTGCATGGATTCGGAGCTAGGATGCGCCTGAAAGTTAAGGTTTCCGCAATCATCAGTCACTATAAGGTATACAAACTAATAATGCAATCCTACAACAAGTTTTCCCCACAGCTTAGTGTGCATAGGATTGCAGTCTTTGAGTTACAAATAACTGTTCCATTTAAGAACTAGCTTCTCCTTTCAGCTAATATGCCCTTTTATCTCCTTTATTTATTTATTTAAAACTTCCGTTTACCACCCTCTGTGCCACAGTACCTCTGGGCAGCTCACAATCACAAGATAAAAACCACAATACAAAAACCACAATAAAATGAATTACAAGAATTTTAAAAATACAATACCAATAAAATACAAAATAAAAGGTCTAGTGGCATCAACTTTTAAAAAGTTTTTTTAAAAGGGAGGTCTTTGCCTGGCGCCAGAAAGAGTATAAAGAAGGCGCCAGGCGAATCTCCCTGGGGAGAGCATTCCAGATGTGGGGAGCAGCTGCAGAAAAGGCCCCCTCCTCGCGGTCGCCCTCTCACCTCCCTATGGATGGCTCATGCCGGAGGGCCCCCCGCATGGATCTCAAAGGCCGGGAAGCCACAAACGGGCAAGGAGAAAGCCTATTTCAGTCATTCACAAATTATTTTCAGTGGAACCTGTTGGTTTTTGTCAAGATTGATGTACCCGTTTCAAATATGGAAGAGTGAAACTGTATCCTTAAAACAAAGTCTGTCTTTTTGTGGAGAGGAAATCCATTGTTTGAGTCTGTATACACACACACACACAAACACACACACAGGAAATGTACAGTAATAGGAAATGAATTGCTAAAGGACAAGTAAGAGGGTATTAAATGGTGCTGGTCCTGCTGTGCTGGAAGCGGTAAAAGAGCAGAAGGTGAAAGGAGGAAGCTGCTAACTCAAGGCACAGTCGCTCCAAAAAGTCTTCATTACACAATGTGATGCTAAAATTACATTCTAACTAGTGGAATTTTTGAGGGATCACCTCAGACCAGGTTTGAAAAAGGGCTGGAGAACAACACACAAAACAGTGTTCTGCAGGGGTGGGGGCCCTTTCAGAGTGAGGTCCAAATGCCATTTCAGGGAAGCTCGGGGGGCACTTGCCACTGACAGGCAAGCCTGAAGGCGAAAGGGGCACCACAAGCCATACCAACATGACTTTGCTTCATAAACCTTGCTAGTTGCGAAGTCGCGTCCGACCCATCGCGACCCCATGGACAACATTCCTCCAGGCCCTCCTGTCCTCCACCATCCCCTGGAGTCCACTCAAGCCCTCACCCACCGCCCCAGTGACTCCATCTAGCCACCTCATCCTCTGCCGCCCCCTTCTTTTGCCCTCAATCCTTCCCAGCATCAGGCTCTTCTCCAGGGAGTCCTTCCTTCTCATTCGGTGGCCAAAGCATTTGAGTTTCATCTTCAGGATCTGGCCTTCTAAAGAGCAGTCAGGGTTGATCTCCTCTAGGACTGACCGGCCTTGCGGTCCAAGGGACTCGCAGGAGTCTCCTCCAGCCCCACAGTTCAAAGGCCTCAATCCTTCAGCGCTCAGCCTTCCTTATGGTCCAGCTTTCACAGCCATATATTGCAAGTGGGAAAACCACAGCTTTAGGAGAGTCAATTCAGCTGTTAGAACCAGCCGCCAGGGAAAATGCTGGAAAAGCCCCAAAATGTTGGCAGCCGGGGGAAGGAGGCATGGTCTTCTGGGGGACTCTAGAGTGCTGGATGAGGACCCCAGGCGGCCCAGTTCTGGTTGCCACTGTGAGGTTCTGCATCCGTGCGGTACCGCTCCGATAGCTATAAAGGGTATGCCAAGAATGGCAGCCGTAGATGTAAGTTAAACACAACTCTTGGGAGACACCCAAAGCGACAAGCCAGGCCCAAGACGCTCTTTATCTCCCAGGACTACCAAAAGGGCAGGCGGGCTCACGTCCACCAAGCCCTGATGCTCGCCTACGGCGAAGTGGCCCGGCAGGCACCCAGGGAGCTGCTGATCCCAAGGGCAGAGCCCGACATCCTGAAGAGGGTCCTCCACCATTACCGGAATTGCTGCCAGGCAAGAGCCGGGAAAAGCCGGGTGGGCTTTGTGAGGCATTGACCCAGCAGCTCCGAAAAGGACGCTTCGTGGCTGTCCTTTCTGGGCTTGGCAAGCCCGTGACCGCCAGGTCAAGGTCTTTTACTGTGGGTGTCAGTGCATGCCTTGTTTTGTTTGAGAAATGTTCGATTTCACATTGGATCTCATGTTTCAGGTGCTGGGTGTCAGCATTGAAAATAAGGTAAGCTGAAAAGACCCGACTTCAGCCCATTGGTCAGAAATTATTCTTACTATTATTGGTTGATTTCTCTAAGGGTATTCAAACTACCCTTCGTCCACAATGCATCCCAGGGTAGCATTAGAAGACACTCCAATGTAAAAACCATACAAAAACTATGTGATTTCACACGAAGAGACAAATTTACATTTCTTCAAGCTAAACAAGCTACAAAAACACAGTGATCTATTCGTTTAAAAATAAATTCAACTGTACATTGTAAATTTATTAAAAGTTAAGATGTTTTGACAAAAGGGAAATTTTAATCAGGTGCTGAAATTTGGTGTTCTTCCAATCAGAGAGACATAGAAACAGAGCGAGTCAGAAGGGATCTCCTGGGTCATCTAGTCTGACCCCCGGCTTCAGCCAGCTCAGCTCACGACATGCCTACCATGTGCAAGTCCAGCCTATCCTTGAACACCCTCACCGATGGGGCCTCAGCCACCTCCCGTGGAAGCCCATCCTACACCCTTGGGGTCCTAACCATCAGGAAGTACATCCTGGCATCCAGATTGAACCTGGGTTCCCTGAGCTTTGCTCCATTGGAATGTGTCCTGCCCTCCTCCACAGGGGAAAATAATCACATGTCTGTTAGGTGAGTCGCACCAACCTTCCCCAACCTAGCATGGTCCAAAGCATCTGGAGGTGGCCCTGCCCTGGTGTAGGGACTCTTCTCTTCCACTCTTCTGCAATTCACTTTTCCAAGATGTCATGTGGCCTCCAGTGCTGGTGTCTCCAAAACGGATTGGACAACTTGTGGAGGAGGCATCTGGTAGTTCTGGTAGCTCTGAGCTACCTCCAGATCAAAGGCAGTGTGCCTCTGTCTGCCCGTTGTCGGGAACTGGGGCGGAAGGGTCATGTCTCACTCACTTAGGGTGTGGAAAGGGCTTCCACGGGAGGTGGCTGAGGCCCCATCGGTGCGGGTGTTCAAGGATAGGCTGGACATGCACACGGTGGGCATGTCGTGAGCAGAGCCGGCTAGAGCTGGAGGTCAGAATAGATGGCCCAGGAGACCCCTTCTGACTCGCTCAGTTTCTATGTTCCTATGCTTCATGTCCTGCCTCTCGGAATCTATGGGCAACTGTGGGACCGGGATGCTGAATTAGATGGGTGTAGTACCTGGGCTCTTTCATTCTTGCATGCAAAACCTCATGGGCTCCTTCTGGCAATGCAGGACGCGCATCTCAAGCTTGCCCTCATTCAGAGCACCACTGATATCTGCCGCGCCATCCATGAGACCCGGGACTTCCAGAACTTCAGGCTAACGTGCAGACAAGAACTCCTTGATATCTTGTTGGTGAGTGATGAGGGGGTGTCACACGGAGGTGGGTAAAGACCTGTTCTCCCCTGCAGAGGAAGGCAGGACGCGCTCCAACGGAGCAAAGCTCAGGGAGCCAAGGTTCAATTTGGATGCCAGGAAGCACTTCCTGATGGTTAGGATCCCCAGGGTATGGGATGGGCTTCCACGGGAGGTGGTTGAGGCCCCATCGGTGCGGGTGTTCAAGGATAGGCTGGACATGCACATGGTGGGCATGTCATGAGCAGAGCCGGCTGGAGACGGAGGTCAGACTAGATGGCCCGGGAGACCCCTTCTGACTCACTCTGTTTCTATGTTTCTGTGTTTCTATGTCTAAGGACACCGGTCTCCTCCTGACTGGCCCTGTCGCTCAAGGTGGTTGTTGTTGAGTTACTCCAGTGCTATCTGTTAAGCTTTGTCTCAGAGCACATTCCTAAGTCAGGTACTGGGGATCTTAGAAACATAGAAACCGAGTGAGACAGAAGGGGTCTCCCAGGCCATCTAGTCTGACCCCCGGCTCCAGCCGGCTCCGCTCACGACATGCCCACCATGTGCATGTCCAACCTATCTTTGAACACCTATCTTAATCCATTCCAGCTGCCAGTTGGTTGGAGCAGTGCTACTTCCGCCGAGAAACTGCTTCTAGGCCTTCCCTTAACAATGCGAGGAAACCTGTGCAGGTTGCCCTTGAGATCATTGCCATTCTCTGCTCCCTGGGAGAGTTCAAGCAGCGGCATGATAGAATCTCACTCGATGTTTCCATCACGTCCCCAAATGAAGGGCGAAGACAGCCCTAACATAAAAAAAGAATATTCAATGATTCTTCACCTTGGTTGCAAGCCCAGCTTTTCCACTGAATTGATAGGCATGGATATTAATGGATTATGTTCTTCTTTTCTGTGCAAATTAAGTTTATAAGTTCAGCAACAGTGATTTTCATCTATCTAATAACACAAACCAGAGGTTCGAAATGATGGAGTTAACACTGGCTCTGCCCCAGCCTGAACTCTCCTGCCATATTTCAAAGGGACTTCCTAACTGCACAAAAATATTTTGTATATCTATCTATTCATAAGTCCTCCCACTAGGTTATTAATTACCACCCCCCAAAACAGATTTGTTTTTAAATCCCCAAACACGCTGAGGGTTGAAGGAGCCAGCTCCCTGGTCACTTCATGGGTACTAAACATGGCCAGATTTGGATCCAAAACGGCCGAACTGTGCTCTTCTCAAGAATTTTTCCCAGTAGCAGAAATGTACCTTTGGTCTAAACACAGCGAGGGCTCCTTGAGCCAGGACTTGTTCCAAAAAGGTTAGATTCGTCTTCTTCACTCTTGAAGACAAGCTGCACCCAGAACTTTTTCCCAACCGGACACCACCTCTTCAAGATACCTTGTTTTTGTTTTCCTAGCTTTATTCTAAATAAACCTAACACACACACACACAAAAAACCCTAAAAACAACATCAATCATAAGAAACATTGGACCTACTGGGTCAGCCCCCCACATTTTTTCTTTTTATGTTAAATTATAAACATATTTAAATCTATGCAAAGTCCCATTTCTCTAGCCAATAATAAAAAGAGTCCCAAGTTTGATAGAAGTCTGTATCTTCTTTCTCCTTCAATGACAAAGTCAGTCTGTCCATTTCTGCACAGTCCAAGATCTTTTTTAGGATCAGTTCGTCAGTGGGTGGCTCTTCACTCTTCCAGTGTTGGGCAAATGCAACCCTCGCCGCAGTGATTACACGTAGAGTCACATACATTGCTTGTTTGCTAACACCATCAGGTATAATACCTAATAAGAAAACATCAGGTTTAAATGCCAAAGATTTTTGTAACATTTCCTCAAGCCCTCTTCAAGATACTTTGGACTTCAACTCCCATCTACCCCAGCAGCATGGCCAGTGGCTAGGATGCTGGGATTGTAGTCCAAAACATCTAAAGGATATCAAGTCAGGTCAGTCTGCTTTAAGGTACGTTTAACCCTTTCTTAGCATCCTTTCGTGACTTTCGCTGCCAGGTCGTCTTGCCGGAGCAACGTCCTCTGCCCCTTGCCGGGTATCCTTTTCGTGAACCGCACGCCTTTCCTTGTTCTTGTTGTCCAGGGTTTCATCGGGGAAGAATCACCGTGCTCTCTGGAGACGCCGCTCCGTTCTAAAGCCATCGCTGCCATCGCATTGCTCAGGTGAGCTGTTTGCAGAGACACCGGCAGTTTCCAGTTCCGTGTGCCCATGCTTGGTGCGAGCTCCCCCATGCCCGAGTCCTCTGGTGCCCCCCCCCCACAAACAGTCCCCTCCATTCCAGTCTGTGCTGCTCCCCAAAGTTGGTGGCCTGCCGGACTCGTGGGGCAGAGCCCGAGGGCCCATTTGCTAGCCAGCCTCTTTCCTTGCACTGCCCGAGCATCTTAAGGCCTGATCCTGAGCATCTTTCAGTAGAATGCTTCTCGCTAGAGTCGCAAGGGTTGGCCATCCTTGCATCCTGGCCGTTTCAGGCTCCACGTGAGCGTCTGGGAGACGAGGGCTCTCCGACTCCTGACGGACAGCCGTGCAGCCTCAGTTGGGCAGGACTAAGGGGAACCCAGAAATACAGGATCGGGCGTTTGCTTCAGCCAGCCCTACAAATCCATGCCCTCTTCCTGCTCACCCTCACACTCAGGCCCATGGCTATTGCTGGCCTGGCCCAGCGGTCCTCACAAGCCAGAAGTTCCACTCAACCCTCCAGAAAGCAGGAGGAGAAGCCACAGGCAGACGGGCACGGGGATGCCAAGCTCCTAAACCACAGCACCTTTTCTTCCTATGCTGGAAACACTTTCTGCTGAGGGGCGACTGGGCGGGCGTGTCCAAGGGTGCGGACGGGCCGGATGCTTTGCAAATGCATCATCGGTAAGCGCTGCGGATTCCAAAATAAATATATTTAGTGCCAGAACTGCAGAAGCCGCTTTGCTGCTTGCCTTCCGTCAGGGTGGTGCCAGGATTCCCTGAGCTTAAAATGCGAAGCTGCTCAAAACGTGCGCGGTTAACCAGGTGGCTGAGTCGCTCTCTCCAATGCATCCAGAGAGTGTGGACGCAGTTGTCAAGAGGGTGAGTGGTGGAGAGAAGTGTGAGTTGTGCGCTTCACAACCGTCCCTCCATTGCTCACTCCCTTTTCCTCCCCCACGAAGCCCCTCTGGGCTGGCTGGGCCGTTTCTCCTTGGCTTTTCCACACGCCAAACCTCAGCTTCCGGGACTAACCCAGCGTAACTTCAGCCTGAGGAGAGACTACTCCCATCTCCCAAACAAATGTTCTTCTTTCCCCCTAGACAGAATCACCCCTCCGAATAAAACAGAATAGTTGAGCAGATCTCAAGAAGTTTCCCTCCTCAACCTTCCCCTTTCCTTTGGAGTCTCAGACCAAAGGGGGTTTCACGGTAGATCAGCCTTTCCCAACCCGGTGGCAGGAATGTGGCCAGGTGTGGTCCAGAACATCTGAAGGGCCCCAGATGGGGGAAGGAGGCGTGAGATTCGTGGCATAAGACAGTGGCCAGTGAGGAGTGGTAGATTCAGACAGGATTTCTCCAGGATGCTGTAATTCACCCAGCAGTTCCAGAATGGTATACAGAGCCATGCGGAGGTGTGGATTCCACTTTATGGGCTCCTGATGTGTCTTCTCAAGTCCCCTCTCTCCTGGCAGCAAGCTAAAGCCACCTCTGAACATGGAGGACATCCGCAGCATCCTCGATCAAAGCATCAAAAGTCTGTTCCCACTCCCTTCCCTGGAAGAGCTGAAGGAGAAAGGGCGTCCTGAGGGAGAGGCCGTACCTGTCGAGGTGTGTGGGGCCACGTTCCTTCCCGCCCTCTCCTTCCACTTTGCTTTTGGCCTTCCTGGGAGAGTCGGGTTGCCCTGGAGCTGAAGGGTCATGGGCCCTGAGGTCTCACATTGATCCTACGTTTCTACCTGCACAGTGGTTGTGGATAATCGGCTAGACATGAGCCAACAATGAGATGCGGCTGCCAAAAGGGCAAATGCTCTTTTGGGATGCATTAAGTATTACTTCCAAATCACGAGAAAGAGTAGTTCCTCTCTATTCCTCACTAGTCAGACCTCACCTGGGATATTTATTGTGTGTCCAGTTCTGGGCACCAGATTTAAGAAAGATGCAGGGAAATTAGAAAGGGTCCAGCGGAGGGCGACAAAAATGATCCGGGGTTTGGAAACGCTGCCCTGTGAGGAGAGACTGGGAGAACTGGGCATGTTCAGCCTTGAGAAGAGAAGACTGAGCAGGGACATGATCTCCCTCTGTAAGGACCTCAAGGGCTGACACAAAGAGGGAGGTCAAGATCTCTTCATGCTGATGCCAGAGTGCAGGACAAGGAATTATCAAGTCAAGTTGCGACAACCCAGATTCAGGCTGGACAGCAGGAAAAGCTTCCTCACTGCTAGAGCAATACGGCAGTGGGACCAGCTGCCTGGAGAGGTGGGGGCTCTCCCACCCTGGAGACATTCAAGGGGAAACTGGACAGCCACCAGAGTGGGGTGCTGTAAACTGGTGTCTTGCACCAGCAGGGAGTGGACTGGATGGCCTTCGGGACCACTTCCAGCCCTACTTTTCTGTGAGTCTGTGAGACCTTTGCTTCCCATCCTGGACAAGCTCCGTGTCTGGGGATCCCAGAATGTGCTTGAGAGCACATCTTCTGACTCACTGCCCGCTTGATTTTGCTTTTCCGACCGGGAGGCCGGCACGCTTCATGATGTGCGCATTTCTCAGCCCTTCCTTCTGTGAAAGGTGCTTTGGCACTCAGAGCTTGCCCCTCGGTTCTTGGGCACCTTCTGCCTTGCCGCCTTCTAAGATGTGGGGAGGCCATGATGGGAGCCGTAGTGCGAACCCATTTTTCAGAAGGCTGCCCTGTTGTGTGCATTTGAAAAGCACCCTCTTCCAGCACTGTTCTGTGGGCTTTGTTCTGCAAATCAGATCCCGACGGTCTTTGACCGCAGGCTGCAGGCTGCACGGGGATGGGAGATGGTGCTCCAGGATGGACCGAAACAAAATTTGCGTCCATCCCCACGGCCAAAGGGATGCAGGTGGCGCAGTGGTTTAAACCGCTGTGCTGCTGGGCTGGTTGATCGAAATTTCGCCGGTTCGAATCTGCACAACGGGGTGAGTTCCCGTTGCTCCGTCCCAGCTCCTGCCAGCCTTGCAGTTCAAAAGCATGCAAATGCAAGGAGATGAAAAGGTGCCACTTCGGCGGGCAGGTAACAGCGCTCCGTGCACTTCAGTGTTTAGTCATGCCGGCCACATGACCGTGGAGAGTGTCTGTGGACAAACGCTGGCTCCCCCGGCCAGGAAACGGAGATGAGCACCGCCCCCCGGAGTCAGGCATGACTGGACTTCACGTCAAGGGGAAGCCTTTACCTTTACCTTTACCACGGCCAAGCTTTCTATTAAAGAGAACTGGAGATCCAGCCACGGACCTCCTGAAATCACGCCTAGCTTGGCCCCCAGCCCTGATTGCCTGTTTGCGGTTTCAGGCGCTGCTCGCCTGCTCCATGGAAGCCTTGGGAACTCTCATCAAGAGCTTAGTTGAGGAGAACCCCACCATGGAGCTGATGGACGAGGTGTTCCAGGTGAGTCCTGCGGCAAACTGGTTTGCAGGTAGCTGATGGCCTCAGAGGTTTCACTCCCCCCACCCCAGATTGCCACAGTCCCGGGGGGGGGGGGGCTCCAGGGGTGTTCTGTGGGCATTTGGCCTGCAGGGCCTGGCCGTGTTTGGCAGCTGTGGGGGCTGTAGGCAAGGCCGGCTCCATCACTGGGCCTCTGCCCCCCCTCAGTCCCAGATTAAAATTCAATGCTCAGTCCAGGTTGCTCTTGCGCAAGGAGCTGGACAGGGGGTGCCGCCTTCGTCCTTCAATTCTGGCCACAAAACGCCCTGCTGTGATGCAAGTGCATGCAATCAGAAGGAGACAGTGTGGAGCAGTGCTTAGAGCATTAGTCTGGGACTTGGAAGACCTGATTCCTAGTCCACATTCAGCCCCTGAAGGTCCCTGGGGGACTTTGGGCCAGACACTGCTTAGCCTGCCTCACAGGGGTGTTGTGAGGATAAAATAGGGAGGAGGGGACTGTGGGAGCTACCCTGGATTGCTTGTGAGAGCAAAAACAGTGGGATTGTTGCAGTTACGTGCTGTCAAGTCATCTCCCGCTGCTGACAACCCCACTAAACTTGGTCAGCTCTGAGAAATTCAGGGCTCTGTGTTCCTGGATGGAATCATGTACTACTAATAAATCAAAGACAGATGCTCTTTGTGCTGGTCAAAATACATCAAAGTGTAACAACCCTTCCGGAATTCATCTCCCATCACCAAAGGGGGGAAAAAACAATTAGGATGAGCATCTGCTTTCAAAATCTGAGTAAAAACCGCTTTCTTTCGGTTTCTGCATGTGCTTTTTGGGAGGGGGTTTCTAATAACCCCCCCTTTCCACCTGCAGCTGATAGACCCCTGGTTCACGGTGACCGAGAGCAGCCGAGAGCGGGCGCTGCAGGCCAGCTTCCAGGCCCTCTCAGCCTTTCAAGAGAACGCCCCCCTCCCCGTGAGTAACTGGCTTTCTTCTTGCTGGCAGTGGAGAGACGAAGCGTATTATGGGATGCATGGAAACCTCCAGCTGCTAACCGGCCCCTTTGCACCTCGGGGCAGTTCATCCAGAGCAGCTGCCCCAGTCTGGGGCCACTTTTCCCTGCAGAGTAGCTTTCACATACATGCAGACTGAAACAATCCTGCAAGATAAGCCGTAGCGCAAAAGCCTGCCGGGGACACACGCCCGGCATCGACACGGCAGGCATTCATCCCAGACCTTGATTTAAAAAATGGGAAAAGCCATCTCAGCCGGGCTGTTTGCTGAGACCTGCAAAGCACAGCCGCCGGTCCGGCTGCACACGCGCATTCGATGGCCTCCTGGGCAGGGCCTTTTGGGATGTGGCCCCCACCAACGGCCTCCTCTCCCCTCTACCACAGTGCACTCTTTACACTCTCTTTAGCAGCGCTGACAATGGGGCCAGTGGCCTAGGGAGGCGGCGGGCTCTCCCACACTGGAGGCATTCAAGAGGCGGCTGGGCAGCCCTCTGAGAAAGATGGTTTAACTCCTGCCCTGCACCAAGCAGGTTTGGACCCTGATGGCCCTCTGGCCCCTTCCGATTCTACTATTCCATGATTCCATGATTTAGGCATCTGCCCAGAGCTTACCTTTGTAGCCTGATTTTAGTATCTTTAGCTTTTTAACCAAATTAATCTGTGGCCTGTAATCTTTATATTTTAATAGCTGTTTTACTGGGTTTTGTGAACTACCCTGTGACTTGATAATAAAGAGGAGTCTGTGCAAAGTCTAAATAAGTCAATGAAAAGACCTGTGTTCAGATGGGTCCTGAATGACCTCAGAACCAACAGCCCCCTCGCCAGCCCAAGCACCCCATGGAAGCGGCGCCTCACCAGCCCCACCTGCAGCACCTGGGAATGGAAGATCACACAGAAAGGGGGCTGCAGGTTCACACAGGAGGAAGTGGTTCCTTTTTTTTTTTTTTTTTGTGAATAAGTTTTATTCTTAATATACCTAACAAAAAGAAACTATCAATCATCGAAAACATCAGACCTACTGGGTCAGCCCCCTATATATATATTTTTAATAGCAATCCGTAAACATATTCAAATCTATGCATAGTCCCGTTTCTCTAGCCAGTAATAAAAAGAGTCCCAAGTTTGATAGAAGTCTGTATCTTTTTTCTCCCTCAGAGACAAAGTCAGTCTATCCATTTCTGCACAGTCCAAGATCTTTTTTAGGATCAGTTCGTCGGAAGGTGGCTCTTCACTCTTCCAGTGCTGGGCAAATGCAACCCTCGCCGCAGTGATTACATGTAGAGTCACATACATTGCTTATTTACTAAGATCATCAGGTGCAATGCCCAATAAGAAAACTTCAGGTTTAAATGTTAAAGGTTTTTGTAACATTTCCTCAAGCCATTTGTGTATTTTAATCCAAGACTTTTTTTGCTTTATCACAAGTGCACCACATATAATAAAAAGTACCCAATTTGTATTTACATTTCTAATTTGACATATTTGGAAACATCTTAGCTAACCTATTTGGTGACAAATACCATCTATAAAACAATTTATACAGATTTTCTTTATATGAAGTTGCTAATGTGACTTTAATATTTCTTCCGCACAGTTTTTGCCATTTCTCTAACTCAATATTATATCCAAAATTTTGTGCCCACGTTATCATAGTTTTCTTAACCTGTTCATCTTCCATTCTCCTCTCCAGTAGGAAATTGTACAATCTTTTAATCATTTTCTCATCAGATTTAAGAATCACGTGATCAAATGCTGTGACTCCTTATAGAAGCCCCACATTCTATGATCGTTGGCATATCTCGATTGCATTTGAACCTCGTGCCACCAAGGAATATTAATTCCTTGTTCTTGTATTTCTTCATTCAATTTAAATCCTCCATCATTATCCAAAATATCATCATTATCTCACAATCGTATCAACGTCCAATGCATTTGGATACACGAGAGCTTCCATAGGCGAAACCCCCCTTGGTAATTTAGTATACAGTTTTGTCTTTAACTTTTCCCACACCAGGAAGTGGTTGCTCAGATACTCTGGCCCACCCAGACTGAGATAATTCCTCTCCTCTCCTCTCCTCTCTTTGGCAGGATGGAGAAGATTTCCAACATTTCGGGTCCCGGGTGGCATTCCTTGCCCCATACACCTGTGATGATTCCACGCAATGCCGGCGGTGGGCGGCCCAGTGCATCACCTGCCTTATGCGTATACAAGGTCAGGGCACGGCGTGCGTGCAGGGCCAGCGTGAGTCCCCGAATTCTGCTCGCCCCCCCCCCGCACCTTCCGAGAACAAACGGCTCGCAGGCAAACTGGTCGCGCCTTTGCTCCCTCCCTGCTTCTCCAAGCGGCGTCACAACCTGGTTTGGGCTCCTGTGGATGAGAGAAGGGTGGCGCTTTCGCACGGCCTGCAAGGCGGCATCTTTTGCAAATCCAGAAGCAGCTCTTCCGCGGTGCGGGAAGGCGTTCCTGGAAGGCCAGAGACTGTTCAGTCCCCAGCAGGAGACTCGGGGCCTTGCAGCTTGAGCTCTGAGCTGCCCTTCTCGCTATCTCCGCTTGGCCTCTTGGGAGAGTGTCGAAACCCCGCATTCCAGATATTTTTCCCCAGAGACCTCTCTCCTCATTGTCACCTTCAGAGAGTGCAAGGACCTCCTAGACGGTGGAAGAGAAACACTGTTAAATTCTCCATGCTGTCTTAGGTCATACATCCCCCTATTAGGGTTGCTCCTGAAGAAGCACCTGATGACCTATTATTTTTTCATATTATTATATGCGTTGCACCTCTGAGAACGTGTTTCTTCTCTGTTCCTTTAAGAGACTTGTAAGCATCGAAAGTAAAGCTAAAAAGAGTTGCTCAGCACTCGGGAGCTCAAGCCCTGCGAGTGTTTGCTGAGCTTTTGGTCATCGTGGTAAACGCGGATGCTTGGTGAAGACTGGGAGGACTTGTGTCTCGCCTGGATGTGCACGCAAGCCACAGACCTTGTGCTTTTTGCATTCTTGTTGGTTGTGGTGCGTGCCTTCTGGCTTTTGCTGGGTGGTCTCCTGACCCATCCGAGCTGGAGCATCCCAGCTGTCTCCTGAGCAGGAGCCCACGCAGAAGAAACGTCAGCCAAGCATCCTGCTTCACCAGGGAGTGGTCAACCCGAACCCAGAGCGTTTTCTTCACAAAGTGTAGTGAGCAGGTGATTAAAGCCTTCCCTTGCTTTGCTTTTCAGCTCGGTCCAGACTCACCCCTGTGGAAGAAGAGGAGATGTTCTCAGCCTGTTTGGGTCTGCAGACAGATGCTCCCGGAGACCTCTTCAAAGCATCATCCAGAATGGCCAAGGTGACCGCTCTCCTCTCCCAATACCCCAATTAATTTGGGCAGCACCACGCAGTGCTGGCGGCGGGTACTGGGGGCCTTTGGGAACGGCCTCTCCCTGGGCCCCTCCCTCCAAGCGCCGGCCTTCTCGGCGCCACACACTTCCGCTGCTCCGCCACCTCCGTGGCAAAGAGGCAGAGACGTTCCGGAAGCTCCCGAAGGTGGGGGCCCTTAGCAGGGGCCCAAAATTGTCTACCCTGGAAGCCAACCTCACGTCCATGTGCCGGATCTTTCCAATGGTACCGATTCTCGGTTGATTTTAGCATGCGTTTGCCATAAAATGTAAAAAATGCTATCCTGTGGAAAGGATAAGAACACCCCTCTGCAGATGGAAGCACAAGGTACATTCCACCTCCCCCCAGTTCATTGTACAAATGGAAGAGGCCTGCGAGCGTGCAAGCAGGATCCGTAGCCTGCGAGAAGCATGCTGCCCCTTGGCACCCGAGCGTGCAAGTGCGGGTGTGCACACGATCCATAGAGCAGCACCAGTGTGAGGCTCCGATCCCCCACTAACACACACGTGCACAGAACAAGGATGGGGGAAGTATTCATTCATTCGTTCATTCATTCATTTCAAGTTTCTATATGCCGTCCAATACTAAAAGGCTCTGGAAGGCTTACAAAGATCCATAGAACAAAGCAACCATATACAACAAGCAACACACCACACTCTGCATCCGATAAATAATGATAAAATCAAGGGTGAAGTACTAAAAAGGGAAGGAGGTTCAAATTTAAAAAAAAATGCTCAGGAAAAATGTGAAAAAATAGGTCTTCTATCAATCCTTACCCAATCTGGATCAACCCTGAAACTGGATTGTGAAAACGGATGTGTTTGTTTGCAGAGTGTGTGTGTGAATCCCGCTCGGGGGTCTGGGTGCCAGTCCGAGCATGTTGTGCTGAAAATGCGCACCATTGTTTCTCTCCCAGTTCCGGATTGATCTGTGCGCATTTCCTCAGGAGGCCTATAGAATCCGCCCTGTCTTAGCCTATAGAAGTCTTAGCCTATAGAAATCTGTGCAAATGTGGGGCTGCTTGCACGCATCTCTGTTGGATCAGGCCTTGCTTTGCACACGATTCGCATTCGCAGAGAAAGCATGGCAGTTGCGTGCATGAAAGGGAACTGGGCATGAGGTGAACTGCATGATGTGCTGGGGGGATATGGGCATTCTTGAACCTTGCTGCCCCCCCTCCAAACGCTCTCCCCTGCCAAAAATAAATAACATTTCCAGAGGGGTGGGAGAGAAACAGAGCTGGAGGTGGGGGTCAAGCTGCCAGCTGCCTCCCCTTCTGATGCAGAGCTCATCCCATGCCCTTTCCAGCCCCCTCAAACTGGTACCCTGCAGTTGCTGTAGACTAGGATGCCTGTTGTCCCTGACCGAGCTGGCTGAGGCTGATGGGGGTTGTACTCCAGACCTCTCTAGATGGCTTCAGGTTCAAGAAGGCCAGCCTGGATCTGAGCTGCGGGGTCTCCAGGTTCTCCATGATTCATTTAACCTGAGGAAGCTGGAAATCCAGCCCTGGACTTGCAGCGTGCGAAGCTGGGTTTTAGAAGAGGGAAAGCGCCTGTCAAGGAGCTGTCAGCGCCTCCTGGAGCCTTCATCTGTGCTGCGCTTGCAGGTGGCCAGCGCCTACTTCCCCCCGGATCAAGCCCTGGCCTTCATCGAGGCCATCTTGGAAGACCTGGTGTCGGGGCATGAGAAGTGTGCTGTAGCAGCTGGACGCTGGCTGCTCACCCTCCTGCAGGACTGCGGCGGAGCCCTCGAAGCCCAGGTTCATTCTGCACCCGCGACTGCCTCGTTTCACGAGTCCAAACAGATCCCCGGAGGGCAGCTCTTCTCCTCCAGCACCCAAGGGCCTCCTGCACAAAGGCATCCCCTGCCCGTGTCGATTTTGTAGCCTCGGAGGCTGAAAGACCTGCCTAAGCCACCCCTCCCTTCCCCCTCCCCTGCCAAATCCGTCCTCAAAGCCAAAAGCCCTTGTCAGACTTTTTCTGTCTAAACGGGTGTATGGTGGGTGCCATTTTCATCCCATGTTTCCCTATTTCTCCTGCTCTCTCCTAAAACTTTAGCTGTAAGCTCCTTGGGGCAGGGACTTATCTCTTTTGTGCTCACTGAAGCGCCACATATGCATTGGGCGTTGCCTTAATAAGCTGCAAGTTTTGCAATGAATGCTTTTCAGACGACTCATGCTCAACTTCCAAGGATCTGGCATGCTGTTAAAACATCACGAGGGCATGTGGTCCCGTCCCTCCATTTCCCTTACTCCAGCGAAGGGGCCTTCCGAAAGTCGCCTGTGGCTCTCTTGTTCCTTCCAGATACCCGTGATCCTGGACGTCTTCTACAGTCGCTTGCCAACCATCAAGCAAGACGACCTGCGGCAGGTGCTGATGGATGCTGTGGTCATTGTTGCCCGTTATCACCTGGACGCCGTGTTCAGCAGCCTCCTGGCACGGCGCCTTCCAATGGACAGGTGAGGCCACGGTTCAGGTGACCCTTCTAGCGATTCCAGAGGCAGTGCGAATCACGGAAAGGGGAAAGAGTAGACTTGGGAGGGGCCATGGCCCCATCAGGTCCAACCAACCGCCAGCTCGGGGCAGGATTCCCAGTTCAACCCCCCCCCCCACCCTCGGATGGCTGTCCAGTTGCATCTTGAAGGCCTCCAGCGTGGGAGAGCCCACAATCTCCCAAGGTCACTGGTTCCATTGTCATCCTGCTCTACCAGTCAGGAAGTCCTTCCTGATATCTAGCTGGAATCTGGCCTCCTGCCACTTGGGATGATCCAGACGAGATCCTGTCCTTCCTCTTTCTGATAGCCTTTCAAGTCCTTCTGCAGGGCTGCCCTGTCTCCCCTTGATCTTCCCTTCTCCAGGCTCAGCATGGCCAGTTCTTAGCCTCTCCCCTCACAGGGCTCTGTTTCCGGTCCCCGGACCATCCTGGCTGCCCTCCTCTGAACCTTTCCAGTTTTTCTCAAGAGCAGGCCTGGTTGAGCACCTGCTCACGGGTGCAGCCCCAGCAGGGTCCCCCGGTTGCTGCCCCCTCCACCGGCTTCTGCTTCTTCTCTTCTTAATGACTTTTATTTTCCCAACATATACAATTGCATAGAAAAAATACAGAACAAAGGAAAAACTAGCATAAACCAAACAGAGGAAAGGGAACAAAATAAAGCCGCCAAGGGAATGACAAACAACTCAGCCCATATATCGCAGCCCCCAGAACCGACCCTCCTCCTCCTCCTCCTTCTTGGCAGATGTTATTTGCAGCAGCTGTCATTGCAGTGAAATCAGTTTGAAAAATTGGCAAAAACGGTGGGTTGCGATGAGTGGTCCGAAGCGCCCTGGGGTCCGTCCACCCCCTCTGCCTTTCACGCGGCCTTCTGGCCAGGGTACTTGCCCTTCCCCACATCTTCCCAGCGCGACCATTTTGCGCTGGTGCCCAGGGCGGCTTTGCAGGTTTCCAGAGGAGCCAATGGCTCAAAGTGGCTGTCCGCAAGCGCAACCGGAATGGCGCTGAAACGACCGCTTCCGGCACAGGGCCAGCCGGCCAGGCTTCCCAACGAGACCTATAAGGGTGACCACTCCAGAGGAGGAGAGGGGGCTGCTCCCGGACTAGCCCGGTGCCCTTTCCGGTTGCCAGCCTTCTCTTCGACAGCAAAAGCTGATAACATCCATGTTGCTGAATTCCAGTGAGACAGGAGCGCTCTGGAGGTCTCTGGGCAGCGACCCCTCCCTGGCCTCCCCGATCCTCCACAGCCTGGCAGCCAGGATGGTGCAGCCCTCGAGCCCGGAGGCCGCGGGGCAGTCCTGCGGTGAAGAGCCTGCCGAGGAGTGTGCAGATGAAGAGCCCCTCAAAGTAAGCTGGACGGCTCTGTTTTCTTGCAATCCTCCGCACAAGACCCGGGCGGGCAGTCTCCTGTCAGGGCACCCAACTCAAACAGCATCAGCGCGATGGTGACTCTGGGGTCTTGCAAGAGAGGCAGTCCTATTTTTATTGCATCATCATCATCAGTGTTAAATTTGTATAAAAGCTTTATGCGCTCTGGGCACGCATTGCAGCACAAAGCAATGTTAAAATTAATAAAATAGTACCATTAAAAAGTGATCACAAATAAGCAAAATAAAACACAAGATATGCAATCAAACAAAAGGTAAATTAATAAAATGAATCCATACTATTAAAATTAAAACCACTGCCGTCAGTAAATAATTTGAGTAGTCCATAGGTTGAAAAAGAGACGTTTGAAAAGAAAAATTTTTGTTGGGCACTGAAAACTCAACAGGGCAGGTGCCTGAGCAATTTCCCACGGCCAGCAATGCACAATTATACCTCCTCTGGGAGGCTTGCAAAATACTAAAACCAACCGTAGTTAAAATAGCAACTAAAAGCAAGCGCATTAAATAAAACGGAGCTCAGAACCCATCTGGGAAGTCCTGGCAGAAGAGGTGTGTCTTTAACTCAGTCTTCAGGAGAGCTAAGAAGAACAGGACAGCACATGGGTGGAGATGTAACTTAGGGGGACAGAAGCCCCACCGGCATGAAGTGGCCACCTTACGAAGGAACACCTGGTGCAGCAGGGTATCCCCATATTGCTAGTGGGGATGCTCAGGGTCCCAGCCAGCCTGTGGTGGGACAGCCAGAACAATGTCTGGGGACGGGGACGGCACCCCTCGCAGGCCAGGGGCTCAGCGGGGGCTGATTTTCAAGCCCAGTTCTGAGCCTGGCGTGGGGCTTTGCCCTCACTGTCCCGGAGTCCCTCCCTGCTTTGCTTTGGGAAGTAACGTCCCTCCGCCTGGCTCCTGTGAGGTATTCTGAATATGGGCCATGCTTCCTGGGGATGATGGGAGCCAGGGCCCAAACAGTGTGAGGGGCATGAAGCCAGGAAGGTGGTTAGCAGAATGTCCCTCTCACAGGGGCTGACCCCTCCTCAAAGAAAAGTCAGGGCGGCTGCTCCCTCTGCACCAGGGCTGGGATCCCTTTTGGGCTGAGAGCTGAGTTCAAATTCAGGCGCTCGCCTGGGGTGGGCGGAGCCAAAAGCATCGAGGCGGGGCTAAAATGCTGTAGAGTTGGCACTGCCAGGAACTAAGCCTTGGGAGAAACATTCCAGACTTTTCAAATGTGGGGAGAACCTGCCCAAAAGCCAGGAACCAGCCATGATTGATTTTTTTGGAAAGGGGTGGGGCCAGGGGAAGGGGGTGTGGCCTTCTCATTTCTTCTCCATATTTCGAAGTGGGAAGAACGTCTCTCTCTCTCTCTCTCTCTCCCCGCGCCCCCCCCCCCCCAGGCCACTTGTGCCGTCTATGAAGTCCTGGCCGTGCTGGAAGACAGGCAGGTCCTCGCAGAACAGTTTCCGGGGCTGTTCTGCGCTCTCCTCCGGCAGGTCAGCACGACGCTGGGGCAGAAGATGCCCCTTTCCGTGGGTCGCCGGAGGCTTTTCCTCAGGGAGCGGCAGGTATCGGAGGGGAACCCTTGCAGGTGAGGCTGCCCGGCACGGGAATGGCTCACACGCACGAGAGCTGGGCATCGGGGTTGTTTGCTGGAGCATGGGATGCGCCCTGGATGCAGCGAACTGCCGTGTTCACACCACGCAATTCAGGGCTCATCGTGAAGCACCAACAGGGCACTTTGGGGGTCTCTCAAGCAGTCGGGACCAGGCCTCCAGAGCTCCCAAGCAAGCTTCTTAATGCAGCATTTCCCTAATTAGCTACAAGCCTTTACAGTCCCAGTTAGGGATGAACAGACTTTGCAAAACCTGTTTGTCGGCGTTTGACAGCTGGCCGATAACGGGCACCCGTTATTCTGTCCTCCACTCACTGAGGGCTCAGGTTTTTCCAGGAATGTCTCAGAAGGCATCTGTGCTAGGTAATGGAAGGGGCTCGCACAGGAGGGGGTTGAGGCCCCATCGGTGGGGGTGTTCAAGGGCAGGCTGGACATGCCCATGGTGGGCATGTCGTGAGCGGAGCCGGCTGGAGCCGGGGGTCAGACTAGATGGCCCAGGAGGTCCCTTCTGATTCGCTCTGCTTCTATGTTTCTATATACACCCTACAGACCCAAAAATACATAAATCCCTCCAATTCTTAGAAAGACATTATTTTCATGCTTCACCCTACAGTGAAATAGGCGTTTTTGCTTGTCAGGGCTTTTTACCTGTTCTCCTATAGCTCTGCTTTGGTAAAATCGTGGCAGGTTTTTCTTGAAAGAAAGCCCCACAGGGCTGTAGAATCCATGGGACGTGGGACGTGGAAATGGCCAGCCTTCCGTGGAGCTCATGGGCCAGATTCGTTTGAGTCTGCTGGCATTCCTTCAACATTTCTAGATGCAATGAAGACCCACAGGTGGCAGATCGCACTGAGGTTGCGAGTCAAGGATCCATCCCAAGAATCACAGCAAAGGACCTCGCTTTGCTTGGCTCAGTGCCCCAGACAAGCCCCAAGAGGCTCACTGTTCCAGAGTACAGGGAAGCCTTTTGGGTCGCTGGCCTGTTGCTTCCACAAAGTCTGCAGTCAGTGCTCCAGCTTGAATGCCGTTGAAGGTCAATCTTGGGCAGTTGATCTTGGCTGGGAAACTGGAGTCTTAGGAAGCAGCTGTGTCCCTCCAGGTCCTCGTGATGCTCCCAAGGAGACACCCCCAAAATGCTCTCTCCCCCTGCTGCCCAGCTCTCATGGACAATGTCCCTGATGAGGAGCAGGAGATGCCGTCAGGGTCACATGCCTGGCCAGGAAGATACGGCTGTGTGGTGTAGTGGTTAAGGGCATGGGACTGGGACTCAGACGATCCGGGTTCGAGTCCCCGCTCGGCCATGGAGCCAACGGGGTGACTTTGGGCCAGTCACAGACTCTCAGCCCAGCCTACCTCACAGGGTTGTTGTTGTGGGGATAAGATGGAGGAGGAGAATGATGTAAGCTGCCTTGAGCCCTTTGTAGGAAAAAGGCAGGGTATACATCGAAAAATAAATGAATAAAATAAAATACGGCTGCATCTTGTGCCTTCCCTCTGCAGCCCATCAGCCCATGGGAGGACCTGCTACATGGGGCTGGGACAAGCCCTAGAGCAGGGGTGTCCAACCTTTGGGTGTCTCTGGGCCACACTGGAAGAAGAAAAATTGTCTGGGGCCACACATTAAATGCACAAACACTAACAAAAGCGGATGAGCACAAAAATGGCCTGTGCGTCACGTCTGTGATATCCATTGTTTGCAACGGTAGGTTAAAATATTATTGATATAGCCGTGTTTCACTTGCCAAGTCACCACGAGCCCATGTAACATCTGACGGTGTCAATTCGACTGCCTGCGCTTGGAAGGTAACGCACTGGACACCACACACCGCCGTAAAACTGAAGCCACGCATGCGTACAAATAGCGAGCGTATATTTGTTTTTATGTGACATCGCAACACAACGTTGTCATCTGTGAAGTTCACACTTGAGAACTGTGCGATCAAGTTACAAAAAAGATTTGCAAAAAAATCTCGTAATGTTTTAAGTAAGTTTACGACGTTGCGTTGGGCCACATTTATAGCCATCCCGGGCCACGGGTTGGACCACCACACCCCTGCTCTTGAGGAATCCGCCTCTCTGAGATTTGCAGCCCTCTGCTCATGCTCGGCCTGGTCTTGCAGAGCGAGCCGAGCCGAGAGGGGCTCTGCAAATTCTCATGGGGGGGGGGGGGCTCAGCAGCTTTGGCCTTCCTCCATGCTGTAGCTGTGGCAGAAGAGCAGGGCCGTCTGAACAGCCTGATGGGGCCCGGGCAAAGCAGTGTATTGGGGCCCCTACGACAACCACAACTACTGCTAATTTGGGAAGTTTTCCAATTTTCCAAGGGTTAACACACACAGATGAGTATGGGGCCCACGGGCAAGTGCCCATCGGGCCCACGCGTCGAGACGGCCCTGCAGAAGAGGGGTGCTGCTTGCGCTGCGATCACACAGGTTTCTGTCCCTGGAGAGCCACACGCAACCGCCCTTCTTCCTCATCCGCTGCGGCGGTGCAAGCAGCGGCCACGGGGCGTGGGGGAGGCTGGCTGCTGGCGGCCATGTGGGGCTCACTTCCTGGAGGCGCCGGCCAGGAGCTGAGACTCAACACGGGCTGGACCCAGGGAGCCGAGCCCAGTGGAATCTGTTGGATTCCCACCCCCAGATGGATTCCTTGCGCGGCCATACGGGTAAGACGGAGCTCTCGGGCAACTGGTTTCCCACAGCGGGATCTGCTGCGACCACTTCCCCCACTGAGTCATCATCAGCATCTGGGCAGCAGGGCCCCATGGACTGGGCAGGGCCCCCTTCCGTGCCCACGCTTTGAGGTCCGTACTTTTTGGGGGTCTTCTGGGCGGAGCAGTCGGGCAAGGCCGGTCCACTCCAAGCCGTGTGCCCACCAGCTGCCCGCTTCCGGTCGGCTGCAGCGTCCTTTCCCCATGACAGGCTCTCCGTGGCGAGTCTGAGGGCCCTGGTGCAGAAGGTCACGCGTGATCCGTCACTGGTGGGAGAGGTCAACATCTGGGCTTTGCTGAGGGACCCCCAAGCCCACCAGAACGGTGTCTGTCTGCTGACCAGGTAAGCGGCTTGTCCGTGGCTGTGCATGAGCTGTTTGCAGAGGCCAAAAGCTGGGGTTTGGGTGGGCATGTCATGAGTGGAGCCGGCTGGAGCTGGGGGTCAGACTAGATGGCCCAGGAGGCCCCTTCTGACTCGCGCTGTTTCTTTGTAACTGCAGGAGAGAAAGCCTCGGGAGGGAGGGAGGGAGGAAAGGTGCTGTCAGGCAACAGAGGTGCGAGCATCACCCAGGACCAAATCCTGCTGCCTCATCTTGTGCTGGGAAGGACTGGCCCAAACTGGGGACAGGGACCCAAGATTCTTTAGTCCTGGCCCAGGGGTGGGGGTGGGGCCTTCTGCTGACGTTCCGCTGTTCCTTTTCTTTTCCAGCCATTTGTTTCGGAATCGATGTCTCAGCCACAAGATCATCCAGACAGTGCTCCTCTGGATGAATTCAGGGTCCAAAAAGCTGCAGCTCACCGGAACCGCCTTCTTCACTGAGGTCAGAGGTGGCGTCCGGAGCGCCGCCCCCCTCGGCCTTTCGAGAGCGGTGTGCAATGAGCTTTTGGAACGGGTGTCTCTCAGACATGGAAGGAGAGAGGTGGCCTCCCCCCCGCAGGAGCCTGCCCAGGTTTCAGATCTCAGGGGGAGGCCCTGGCGCAGTGCCACCACCACCAGGGACATCCTTGGCTCTGGAACTCCCTGCCGGGGGGGCTCAGTTGCCCCCTTTCTGTTGACCTTCCTGTGCAAGCAAAGGCTTACTGTTCATTCAAGACTCAGTTCCCTGAGCCTCGCCTCATGTGGCTTTCCCTGCCATCAGACCAAGAGGAACTGCCTGGGAATGCCGCTGGAAAAGGCGCATTTTTCCGTCAGCCCCCAAGCCGGGCAGCACCTGCCTAATCTGCAGCGGCAGGAAGTTCTAGGCTGTTAGGATACAAAGGGCCTTATTCTGACCATGATATAACGAGCCTCCTGAACCTTGGGTACCACCAGGAGGGTCTCTCCTGATGAAGCTGTGCAATTTGCTGCATTCTCTCCCTCTGACTTTAATCCAGAAGCAAGGCAAAGCAAGGCAGGGCAGGGCAGGGCAGGGCTAAGAAGGCAAGGCAAGGCTAAGAAGGCAAGGCAAAGAAGGCAAGGCTAAGAAGGCAGGACAGGGCAAGGCAAGGCAAGGCAAGGCTAAGAAGACAGGGCAGGGCAGGGCAAGGCAAGGCTAAGAAGGCAAGGCTAAGAAGGCAAGGCTAAGAAGGCAAGGCTAAGAAGGCAGGGCAGGGCAGGCAAGACCACCTTAGCAGCAGCAGATCAGGGAAGCAGTGAAAACAAACATTTGGAATTTGGCCTGACCCAACCAAATGCATGCAGGCAGCAAAGTCTGTCTTCCAAGACCTTTTCCCAGGCAAAACTCTCTCCCCATATCCATAGTCACTTTGGTCCTGCATGGTCAGAAGCGTGAGTTTGAGATGTGCAAAATCCAACTGTACTTATAATAACATGCTTAATCACTGCAGGTAATTCAGGATCCCAAGTTAGGAGAAAGGGAGCAGCTGAAATTTGTCCTCCCTATCCTGATGGAGAGAGCAGGAGACCAGCTCGCCAGCATCCGCCAGATGGCAATAAAAGGCCTCGGGAAGGTCATCGTCATGGCCCCGGACAAGGTTAGATCTCGCTTACTAAAGCTGATATTGCTCCTGCGAGGCTGTGGATTACTTGAAGGGCCCTCCCCATTCAATGCAACGGGGAAACATCAGCCGCCGGAGGTCTCAGAGCAGAACCCGCCCTGGAGGAGCTCCATACTGTCGAGATATGGAGCGTGCATCTTGGGACCGTGCGTGCTGGTTGTGAGCCCAAGCAAGGAGGGGCAGGCCCTGATCCACAGCTTCCTCGGCCAGTGGCCCTCCTGCAAAGCTCATTGCAACCGGGGCACGATGCCAGTTCTTCCTCTGTGTGGCAACTTAGCCGGTGAGCCAAGTCTTCCACAAAATGTGCCATGCAAGCTCCTACCGTCGCTTTGCAATTGCTTGCGCACTTCAAAGTCTGCGTGGCACCCCAGAAAACTCATTTTCATGGAAGGGGCCCAGCCTGGACCTGCTAGCTTTGCCTGCGTGCGAATCCCCCTCTTGCAAAAGGAAAGTCGAGCATGGCAGCTGCCGGCTGCAGGCTGAAATATTAAGCCCAGCCTCGGGTCCCTGTCTCCGTGAGCAGCAACCCTTCAGCCGCACAAAAGTTGTCTTCTGAGCAAGATGAAGATGTGCGTTGCACAGTGGAAAGAACCCCTTTCTCAGAGCCCTTTTCTTTCTGTAATCCGCTTGGAGAGTCCTTGGGACTAATTAACCGCAGAATACAGTTGCATAAATAAGTTGACTAATGCTGTTAAGTCTTTGCAATGGGCACTGCTCCGTCTCCAGCATCACGGGTGCTTCTGGCGTGTCCCTCCAGGTGAAGGAGCAAAAGAAGGCCATCGTGGCTATACTTCTTGGAGCTCTGTATGACCCCAAGGTGGTGCACGAGGGGCTTGAGATGCTAGCGCTGGCTTTCCCGTGCCTGAAGCGGAAGGACGTGGGCTTTCTCTTTAAAGACATCTCCATGAAGACCGTAACGTACCTCGCTGACGTAAGCTGGCGGTAGGACTCCGTCTAGGAGTTGCTGAGAGAACTGAGGCCTCTTATTGCATTGTACTTGAGATACATTAACAGAGTGTTACTTCCAAATCACGAGAAGTAGTAGTTCCTCTATACCCCTCATGAATCTGATCTCATATGGAATCCTGTGTCCAGTTCTGGGCACCAAGATTTAAGAAAGATGCAGGGAAATTAGAAAGGGTCCAGAGGAGGGCGACAAAAGTGATCCGGGGTTTGGAAATGCTGCCCTGTGAGGAGAGACTGAGAGAACTGGGCATGTTCAGCCCTGGAAGAGAAGACTGAGGGGGGACATGGGATCCCTCTATAGGGACCCGAAAAGGCTGCCACAAAGAGGAAGGCCAAGATCTCTTCTCGCTGATGCCAGAGTGCAGGACACGGAATAATCAGTTCAGGTTGTGACAACCCAGATTCAGGCTGGACACCAGGAAAAGCTTCATCACTGCCAGAGCAATACGGCAGTGGGACCAGCTGCCTGGAGGGGTGGGGGGCTCTCCCACACCAGAGACATTCAAGGGGAAACTGGACAGCCACCTGAGTGGGATGGTGTGACTTGGTGTCCTGCAACTGCAGGGGGTGGACCTGATGGCCTTCATGGCCCCTTCCAGCGCTATGATTCTATGAGGGCTGTCTGTGTATTGTGGTTGTTACATACTGTCTAGTTGTCTCCAGCTTCTGGCAGCCCCGAATGAGTGCCCTCCAAAACTTTCTGGTCTTGGGTGACCCAGCTCAGCTCTCAAGAGCCAAGCTTGCTTCCTTTATGGAACTGATCCATCTCAGAATTCGTCTTCCACCTCTTCTTGTTCCTTCTGCTTTTCCTCGCATGATGGTCTTCTCCAGGGAGTCTGATCTTCTTTGGTGGGCCTGATATGGTACATTGGTCACCTTCTTTTTCACTGTTCATTTGTCACCTGTTCACAACCTCGAGGGGGAAGGATTATCTATAGGTTATCACATAAAAGGTCCTCCAAGAAGCTGGGAATCAGTCTTGGCCTAAGAGGAAAGAACTGAACTGCGAATTCCAGGCTCGAATCTTCTCTGAACATCACGTTCACTAGGCAACCTCAGGCAGGCCCGTCTCTCACCCTCTTTAATATATGGGCAAGAACATTAGCCTACCCCACATTGCTGTTTTAAGGATTTGCAACACGTTCTTAAGGGCGTCAAACAGCAAAAAAAATCTATTTCCAACGAATTCGGCTGTTTGGGGCTATAAAACTTAGTTTTCCAACTCTCCCACCATGTCATGGAAGATCTGATATTTAAGGATCATACCGTCTCACTTATTCCCTTGTTTTTCCTTCCTTCTTCCTATGCAAATGGATAATGAAAAATAATAATTGATGAAACATGAATGAAAAGCTAGGAAGGTGCTGTAGCATGGAGGGGGAAGTCAGACTCCATTGGCTTGAGGGTACAGCATGACTTTTGGAAGGAAATGCGAGAAAGCTAGCACTGCAGGGCAAAAGCAGTTCCTGACCGCCTGGATTTCTAGGTGCAGTCCCAGCCAGCGTCCAGCACGAGGCCTCCATTTTGCCCACCAGAATTAATCTGTCCTGGCACAGGGTTTGAATGCAATTTCTGGCACATGGAGCATGAGGACACGAGAGCAGTCCTTTTAGTGTGCAGACCTTAGACTCTTGTAAAGTCATTTTAACCATCACCTTATAAATGGAGCCAAGCTCAGGGATCCCAGGTTCCATTTGGATGCCAGGAAGTACTTCCTGACAGTCAGGACCCCGAGGGGGTGGAATGGGCTTCCGTGGGAGGTGGTTGAGGCCCCATCGGTGCGGGTGTTCAAGGATAGGCTGGACGTCCACATGGTGGGCATGTCGTGAGCGGAGCCGGCTGGAGCCGGGGGTCAGACTAGATGGCCTGGGATGCCCCTTCTGACTCGCTCTGCTTCTATAAAGGTCTATGTCATACCAAAGTCACAGCCAATCTGGGTCTCAGGAGACCCAGAGTCAAGTCCCAGCTCAGACAGGAAACTCACTAGATAAATGAACGGCTTCTCAGCCTAGTCTACCTCACAGGGTTGTTGTTGTGAGGATCAAGTGGAGAGGCGAAAGAAGACCAAATAAGCTACTTTGGGTTTCTTGTAAGAGGGAAAGGGGTGAGATATAAATATAAGACATGCATGATGCATATTTGTTATTCCTTGCCACCTAAATTGCACCTCCTGCACTATTACTTCAAACACACCTGTCCCAGGTATCAGCGAGTTTTTTCCCCCCGACTAGAATGATACTGACCTTCGCGGGGCCGCACTGCACCTGTTTGGCATCCTGGCTGCTTGGACAAAGTTCAGATACAAAACATTTTTTGGGGAGCAAGTCAAGAAGAATTTGGTGCCGCTCCTTATTCACCAGTGTGATCCTAGCCCAAAGGTGTCTGAGGTAAGACCCTGTACTGGTTTTCCGCTTAGTGGACCCCCAGAACTACAGAAGCCCTTGGCTAGGTGTTCATTCTCTCCGGGACAGACTGTCTTCCTCTGCTGTGCGGATCAGCCCTTCCTCACTCCGTGCAAAGTCTTCCTCGTTGTATATTAACCAGCACACCTTGCAGATTAAATTGACAGCGGTGGCGTGCGATGCAGAGAAGTGCAAGGTCTTGCACTTGGGGCATAGGAGTGGGTGTCATAAGGACAGATTAGGGGACCAGTGGCTGGAGAGCAGCACTTGTGAAAGGGACCTCGGGGTGCTGGTTGACCGCAGGCTGAACATGAGTCAGCCGTGTGATGCGGTGGTCAAGAGGGCGAACGCCACCCTTGGTTGCATAGCCAGAAGTGTGGCTTCTGGATTGAGAGAGGTGTTACTGCCACTCTGTACAACTCTGCTGCGCCCACAACTGGAGTATTGTGCTCAGTTTTGGGTCCCTCATTACAGAAAAGATATAGCCAGGTTGGAGTCAGTGCAGCGTAGGGCCACAAGGTTGGTGGCCGGTTTGCAGGGGATGCCATATGAGGCGAGACTGAGGGAATTGGGTCTCTTCAGCCTGCAGAAGAGGAGACTCAGAGGGGATCTGTTGGCGACATGCAGGTACGTGAGGGGGTGTCACACGGAGGTGGGTAGAGACCTGTTCTCCCCCGCAGAGGAGGGCAGAATGCGCTCCAGCAGAGCAAAGCTCAGGGATCCAAGGTTCAATTTGGATGCCAAGAAATACTTCTTGAGAGTTAGGACCCCCAGGGTGTGGAATGGGCTTCCACAGGAGGTGGTTGAGGGCATTCAAGGATAGGCTGGACGTGCACATGGTGGGCATGTCATGAGCGGAGCTGGCTGGAGCCGGGGGTCAGACTAGATGGCCCAGGAGACCCCTTCTGACTCGCTCTGTTTCTGTGTTTCTAACTTGGGAAATCTGTTCTACTGAGAATCCAGATTTCAGGGGCAGTCTTGGCGAAATCTGAGCTACTTGCAGTTCATTGCACATTTCTCCAACACTGCTAGCCTCCGTGGACCCTGGGAATTTTCATGCTCCTTGGCAAGGACTGACAGCCCCCCTGCTTTCCTACAGGATAACTTTTGGGGGCGTGTTTTCATTCAGTCAGTCAGTCAGTCAGTCAGTCAGTCAGTCAGTCAGTCAAAGCTTTTATATGCCGTGCAGCTACTAGCATCTCGGGATGGTGTTTTCACGCGTCAGCTGTTGCGATGCAAACTGGTAGAGGGATGCATGGACAAGAGAAGGCTTGAAGTAACGGGATTTCCACTTTTCCATTCCTGCCATGATTCCGAAGCTCAGCTTCCCCCATTCTGAAACAGCCCGTCTCTTTTCGCAGGCATGCAAAGCTGCCTTTCTGCATTCGGTGAGATTTTTGGCCAAGAGAAAACTCAGGGCCTACATTGAAGAGATTTACCGCACCACGAGCCTGAGCCTACCGAATCTGGACGCACATCTGTGCAGGCAGCTGGTGAGAGAGAGGAGGGCAAGATGGAGAGAGGCCCTTGTATTGGCAGGCGATGAGTCCAGGGCGTTGTGTCTGAAAGGAAGAGGAAAGGCTATCAAGAACTGGCCGGGCTATTTGGATTTGTCCCCAAATTCACAGCCATCTTCCTCCAGGCCTTGCTGCCATCTCCCCGTCTTTTCATGTATGAAGAAAAGATGCCCTTCAGATGCTTTGCCACTGACACCCCCCCCCCCCTTTTGCAGCCCTCCTGCTGGGCTGGAGTTCCCATCATTCCCGGCCAGCATGGAAGAGCTCTGACCAAAGGCTCTGGACCAGGCTGGTTGGGGGTGCTGGGAGTCCAACCCATCTGCCCCACCAGGGAGGCTGCTGTAATATTTCCTCAATCTTTAGGAATGATTTATGGTTTGGAACATGCTTTGGGATGCATTAACAGTATTACTTCCAAATCTCAGGAAGTAGTCGTTTCTCTAGACTCCTCACTGGTCAGACCTCACCTGGAATCCTGTGTCCAGTTCTGGGCATCAGGATAGAAGAAAGATGAAGAAAAATTAGGAAGGGTCCAGTGGAGGGCAACAAAAATGATCCAGGGGTTGGAAATGCTGCCCTGTGAGGAGAGACTGAGAGGACTGGGCATGTTCAGCCTTGAGAAGAGAAGAGAAGAGAAGAGAAGACTGAGGGGGGACACGATCTCCCTCCATAAGGATTTCAAAGGTTATCACAAAGAGGAAGGTCAAGATCTCTTCTCGCTGATGCCAGAGTGCAGGACACGGAGTAATCAATTCAAGTTGCGACAGCCCAGATTCAGACTGGACTTCAGGAAAAGCTTCCTCACTGTCAGAGCAATGTGATAGTGGGACCAGCTGCCTGGAGAGGTGGGGGGCTCTCCCACACCAGAGACATTCAAAAAGAAACTGGGCAGCCACCTGAGTGGGGTGGTGTAAACTGGTGTCCTGCAGCAGCAGGGGGTGGACTTGATGGCCTCCATGGCCCCCTCCAACTTTACTATTCCATGATTCTATGATTTAGTCCTTCCATTTAATCCTTACATTTCTGCGCTGCCCAATAGCCAAAGCTCTCTGAGCAGTCTGTGGCATTTAAAGCAGTAACATGTACCACAATGACACATGGTATAAAAGTTTAAAACTAAGTCCAAATAAAAACCTAAATAAAGCCTAGCAGGACAGCAAAGGTTTAAAATGGCGTGTCGGGACATACAAAGTGCCCTGCGGTCCATCAGGCCCTCTTGCACAGGGTCACCTCCTCTGGCTGGAGGTGCTGCTTAGGCAGAAGGGAACTTTTCCAGCTGGGGATACCAAGGACTGGACCGGAGGCCTTCCTCACGCAAACCGCGCGACCCCTCGCTGAGCTGCGGCCCTGCCCCAGGAAAGCCTCGCCTCCTCATCTCCGTGTCCCTTTGTGAAGCTCCCAGCACGGTCGGTCTTCCTTGCTCCTGCTCATGCAGCTTCTCCGGGGACCGGGGTGGAGATCTTTCTCCAGCACTCCTGCTGAAGGCAGCGGTGAACATGGAGGTGGAGACACGCTCCTTGATGCTCCCCACCGCCATGTCCTGAAGGAGAACCACGATCCCAGGTGGTCGTGTAGACCCGTGTCAACAAGCAGCTCGAGGAGTTCCATCTCTCTCCAGGAGTAGGTCTCTAGTGAAGCTCCAGGCCCAAAATCTCCATGGAAGTTCAAGCCACCTTCCCAGTTCTTTGCGCTGCAGCACAGAACCCTAAGCACCTGTTATGCTTTTTACCTTTCAGGTTAGCATCCACCCCGAGCTGAGGGCTGAGCTACTGAAAAAGGCGGTGGGGTATTTCCAAAGCCCCGGTGAAGAGATGCGAACGAGGGCTCTGGAGTTAGCGGGTAGGAAGCACAAGGATCTGAGAGGCTTGGTGAAAGCGGGAAAGGGGTGAGGGTGGGTGCTGCCAGCGGTGGAGAGTGCCGTGTGCCTTGAGGAAGTTTCAGGGATCCCAGAAAGGGCTTTCAAAATATGGACTTCGGGCCCCGGAAAGATCAGCGGCTCCTCATTGAATATCTCTGATGGGGGTCCCAAAAAGGAGAGTCTATAATTATTTCCAGAACAGAAGCCATGCTCGTTCCTTGCAGCAAAACCCACAAACAACCCCACTTGGGATATTGGGTCTGGGTGGGGTCACCTTACCTGAAAAAGGACGTTATTGGGTTGGACAAAGCAGCTTCCCTGTGAGACCGGCGGGGACGGGTCAGCTTAGCAGAGACGCAAGGAAGGGGAGACTTATTTCCAACTGCCCAGTTGCTGGGCCCATGTGACTCAGGATCTAAAAAACACTCTGTGCATGCTCTAAAAGCTTGTAGTTGGTGGGGAGAACCACTACCAGGAGCAGGCTGTCGCAAGGGACTGTGGGGGCCTGCATGATCTTTCAGTACAAGGGACCTTTCCGGACTGAACTTGGTCATCCTTGCTGCGGCCGCCTTCGAGGTGCCCCGACACCAGCCGGGCTGGTAGCCACAGAGTCCGCCCGGCCCCTCCCTGAACCGTGTTGCTAAACTTCTTTTCCGCAGGAGTAATTCTGGAGAGCATGCAGATCCCGGAACTGGAGGAGGCCACGCGGCAGCAGCTGCTGACCTGTAAGTGAGCAGATATGCCCCTGTGAGTGCCCGGCCCTTTTCGCACGGCGCTCACACACACTCAGTCGCCAGGGCGGTGGACTGGGGACCCTGGAGCTCCGGGTCCGGATCGTTGTTCAGCCACGGAGCTCGCTGGGTGTCTCTGGGTCAGTCGCAGGACTGTAGCCCAAGCTACCTTGCAGGGTTGTTGTTCTGTAGAGAACATTAGGAGGAGGAGGAGAATGATGTAAGTCCCCTTGAGTTGCTTGAAAGAAAAAAGATGGGATATGAATCTTATTCACACACACACATTTCCTTGCATCGGGAGCAGGCAGGACTCCCTGGGGAAGAGGATCAAAGGCAGGAGGAGAGGAAGCCGAAATAAGAGATGGATGGAGCCGCGGCTTGAATTTGGAAGTTAAACGGGGTTGCCACAGACACAGTGTTTTGGAAGGCTTCCATTCATAGGGTCATCGTAAGTTGGAGGTATCTGGACAGCCCAGAAGAGCAGCAACAAACGTATTTCCTGCAAGGGGTTTTAACTGCACAAATAGAAAATTGGCTGGAAAACGGACATGTGAACGAGCCCTGTCTTCATACATACCTCAGTTCTGTCACATGACTATATACCAGCCAGAATGCTCATCTGCATAACAAATGCCTCTTCCGCCCCTTCCCACAAGCATAAGCAAGGGCCACATGTTAATTTCACAGCCATGTGCAAAGAGATCAAACGGGAATTTGCCACCACAGACACCTGTGCTCTCTGCGGCACAGGAACAGTGAAGCGCACCTAGGAGCAGGTGTGCTTCTGGAATGCGCTCCCCAGAGAGGTCCGCCTGGTGCCATCGTTATTTGTTTTTCTGTGCCAGGCGAAGACCTTTTTATTTAAACGTCATTTTAATTGCTAATATTATTTATTTATTTTACATCTTTGGCCAGGTCTTCTCAAATTATGTTGTCTCAAATTATATTGTTTTTATATTGTTGTTATTTATTTATTGTTGTGAGCCGCCCCGAGGCTTTGGCGAATGGGGCAGCATAGAAGCGTCCTAAATAAATAAATAAGGACTGTGGGAGGTGATTGACAGGACTGGACCATTGCTGAGGCCAAGAGGAGGAGGAGGAGGCTGACCAGGGCCACCTAGAAGCAGACCATGAGCAGAAGTGAAGGAGAACAGTATGGCCCAGTGGGCGGAGTCTCAGACTTGGGTCATGAAGCAAACTTGGTAGTTTTGGGTCAGCCAGTATCTCTCGACCTAACCCACCTAATAAGGGTGGTAGGAAGACAAAATAAGCGCCTAGCATGGGTGAAAGTGAATTTAAAGTGTAATCAACAGAATGATCTTTCCAGTCAGGTTGGATCAAAGCTTTCCAGGATTCACGGGTCACAGCTGGTGCAAACTGTAAACTCACAGATCTGTAAAATAAACTTATCAAAAGATCTAAATCGTGATATCTACTGCAAACTGTAAATTTTATTCTCCCTGCTAAAGAAGATCTGATCCGCTAGAAATTAGATCTCTAGGATCTAGACTTTGCAACAGGAAGGATGAAGTCTATTGATTGCATCAGATAGCTAGGTTTAGACCCTTTGATCTATTTATAAAATGCCGGCATTGTCATCAAGCCAACACAAAATATTGCATCCTGCCTCCTTTGCCAGATCCCAGCGTCAATTAAATTCACCCATTCACCCTAAATCCATTCGGGTGGCAGATTGAGGCTGGAGTCCAACTCCGAGCGCTTTCTTGTCCTGCTTGTTCTGCTAATGCATTGCTCTTCTGTCACTGCAGCTCTCGAAATGCTTCTGGAGGGGCCCAGTCCTAACCTGCAACAGGCAGCTGCCACCTGGAGAGCCTACGTCTTCAAGAAGTGGGGAGAGCTACCAAGAAGAGAAGCCCCCACCTATGCCCCTCACATGTATGGCCCATACCAAGTGCCCCGGCCGGGCACAGCCCTGGAAGCAGGATCCGTCCAGGGCTTGTACGAATAACATGTCTCCAGTACGTAACGTTGCCCCATCCGAGATTAATACACGGCCTAGAATTCTGCTTCCTTGGTGTTGCTGCAGGTTTGGTTTCTCTGAAGTGCAGCTTGCAGTCCGTCAGGTGTGGATGCTCTGGGTTCTGTCCATCTAGAAGAAGAATTAGGCATAGAAATGTAATCATCATCATCATCATCATCATCATCATCATCATCATCTGGGCCAGATAAGTGCGTTCTGGGCTGGGAATCTGCTGTCTGCCCGAAGCATCACCTGCCCCTCACCTGGCTTCTTGCCCACCTCCCCCACCTGCTGCGAGATCTCTGGGGACCAGCCCTGCTATCTTCAGGCATCCGTCCTCTCCCAGCCAGGTGTCTACAACGATCCACCACCACCGGCTTTCTTTCCAAGCTTCCTAGCAAGAACCCCGGCCCAGTTCTGCTCTTTAGGTGGATCCTGTCCGTCAAACACGTCAACACCTTAACTCATCTGCTTTGCGTTGTACTCACATCGCCGTGCCCACAATTCCTCCCCTGAGTGGTGCTCAAATTGCCAGGATAAAGCAAAGCCAGCCTTCTAGCCTGTTCAGTTTCTTAGGGATATTTGAGGAAGCCAATAAGGGGTGAAAATCAAATTCGCCCTTTCCCCAGTTCCAGTTGTCCAGCCCAGCATCAGCACTGACTCACGGCTAACTTCCCTCTCGAAGATGGACCACGGTTTAGAAACAAGGTGAGTCAGAAGGGGTCTCCCGGGCCATCTAGTCTGACCCCCAGCTCCAGCCAGTCCGCTCATGACATGCCCACCAAGTTGCACATTTTTAAAACACACTCAGGAAATGTGTGCAGATGGTGCAATTTGCACCCGTGTGCTAGCGCAGCTTGCCCATGTCACATGACATTCACAAATTGGAAGCCACAAATTACATCACAGTAGTACCATTTGCTCTAATTGCACGAAAACGGTGTAGGTCTTAAGCTTCCAATTTGTGCAAATCATGCAACTTGTGTAACTTTCTTTGTGTGTGTTTCTGAGAAAAACGTGCAAATCATATCCCTTCTTATTCCTGTTATACTGCATTTCTAGTCCTAATTTTTTCCTTTTGCAAAGAGACCAAGGCAGTTTCCATAGCTCCCTTCTACTCCATTTTTAGCCTCACAAATACCACCCCACGCAGTGACATAGAAACAGAAACAGAGTGAGTCAGAGGGGTCCTCCAAGGCCATCTAGTCTGACCCCTGGCTCCAGCCAGCACCTCCCATGACATGCCCACCATGTGCAGTAGGTTGGGCTGAGAGTCCGTGACTGGCCCAAGTCACCCAGTGAGCTTCATGGCAGAGTGAGGACTAGAACCCAGATCTGCCTGGTCCCCAGTCCCATCCTCTCTCTCACTCACACACACACACACACACACACACACACACCCCGCCGTAACACACCGGCTCTCTTGGAGATGGGAGTCCATGGAAACACCCCAACTTGTCCCAGTTCCACTTTTTGGATTGGAAGCAGGCAGGAAGGCTTCCAGCTACCTGGATTTTCCTGCAGGGACTATCCCTAGTTACTTTGAAGCCTCATCCGGAGGACAACCACACAGTACAGACACCACAAAACCGAAGCAAGCGGGTAGAAGCATCCGTGATCTTTGCCATCAGCCCCTGAGGAAACCAAGATATTTAGATAGGCCAGGGCAGACCCTGGCGGGCTCCAAATGTTCCCACCTGCAAGTCTCCTTAACAGACCCCTCCACCCACTTCGCCTTTGGGTTTCCTTAGCAGTCTTTGCCCCCAGCCCCCACATCTGCTCAGGAAGCGGGCAGTTCTGCCCTGAAAGGGTGGAAGCCCAAGTCCACAACATTTCTGCAAAAGGTGCTTTTCAGTGCAAGACTGAACGGGCTTTGAACCGTAGGGGAAGGAACCCGTCAAAGGCCCTGGCTGGGTTTCCCGGGAATTTAAGGACTCAAAATGGCATGTGGTTTGGGTGTTCGGGGGGTTTTTGTTAGATTTATATCCCACCTCCGTTTTATTCTTAAATGTAACAACCTTATTTATTCATCTGCACTATTTTCATCCTGCTAAATATTAACAAAACTCCTTACATCATTTCCATATAAATATTAATTTGTTGATTAGAAATCCATTAAAATATAGTTTTAAAAGTGATACTACTACTGCTACAATAATGATAATAAACAGTACAAGAGTGGTAAAGCAAAGCTGCGGAGTAAATTTAATTGCAGGCCAGAGAAAGACTGAGTGAGAAGGTCCATTTTTTTTTTTAATTTGGGTATTTTTACCCGTTCCAATACCCAGTGGGTCTCTGGATGGGGAGGCATGCGAGAGATGTTAAATATTTTGCCTCCCAAATTGGATGAGAGAGTTTTTTCCACAGGGTGGGGACCACCACCAAAATGGCCGCCACTCAGGTTTCCATGGTGACACTCTGGTAATGTTGAAGTCCAGGCCCAATGTCAGATACTGGTGATGACCTATAAAGCCCTAAACAGTTTTGGGCCTGGAGACCTGAAGGAGTGTCTCCTTCCATACGTGCCTTCCCACCCCTTAAGATCTGGGGCAGAGGCCCTTCTCTGGGTGCCCCCCTTGAAGGAGATTAGAAGGGAACACGCTCCCCCACTTTATTCTTTTCGACTCCAGGCCAAACCCTTTTTTATTTTCCCAGTATTTTAAGGTTTGAGTGTGATTTTAATGTGGGGTTTTATTTTATGGCATTTAAACTGGATGCTGTGCTTCACCCTGTTTATTGTAAGACCATTCCGAGATCTCAGTAGCGGACAGGAGATCCACGTTTGAAATAAATAAATAAATAAACAAGACACGCGTGTATTTGTACAGTTCTGCCATGTGGTTGTATAATGGAATGTACAGGAAGGCAGAGGAGGACGAAGCTACGCTGGGGGGTATATTAAAAAAGGAGCACTCTTAATCACGGCAAGGAGCCCATCTTCATCTCGCAGGGATCCCCTGAAGAAGAAGCCTCGCACAGCTGCTCCAGCCTCAACAAGGATGCTCAGGCCCTTCCGGTCAAGTTTGTTTATTTTTATTTATTTATTAAAACATTTTTATGCCGCCCCATTCGCCGAAGCCTCCCTCCCGAAGTTCCCCTTTGAGTCTTCCTGTGAGAACTGCCCCGAAGCCTTTCCAGCTCACTCGACATCTTCATGAACTGACGATCTAACCAGGCATTTGGGGACATTGCAAATCTGTCACCACGACACAGAATGACGAGCGCAGCGTACATGAAGCCAGGTCTGGGCTGAACATCAGAAAAATGTCCTGACCGAGAACCAGTGACCTAGGGAGGTGGGAGGCTCTCTCACGCTGGAGGCATTCAAGGAGAAACTGGACAGCCACCTGAGTGGGACGGTGTAACCTGGTGTCCTGCGACAGCAGCGGGTTGGACCTGGCGGCCTCCTGGCCCCTTCCAACTCTAATGATTCTATGATTCAGTGATTCCCCATTCTTCCTCTTTTCCCTCTTCCTTCCAACTCTCCTGGGAATTGGGATGCATCAGGAAAATGTAGCACCTTCATTGCCCTCTTATTATGAGGGATGTGATCCCGGATTGGCTGGGATTACCCTTGGAAAGAGAAAGGAACTCTAAACAGGAAGGAAAAAACGGGCCAGACAGTGGGAGAGAAGCAAAATGATAGCAGGAAACTGCAGCAAACAAGCTTAAAGGATTTGAATGTTAAGTTGCACGCGCACACACACATGCATACACAGAGGAAATACTCTCCCCGACTAAAACACACTATTTGTTATCCAAAAATCAAAGCAGCTGAATAGCATCCTCTTAATATTTCATGTGCTTTAGAAAACTCAAACCAGGAGGTGGCAATAGAGCTCTGATTACTGTGAAATCTGTTCAGGATGCTGAGTTTGGCAGGGGAGGGATGCTGTGGGAAGTGACTTCTCCACTCCACAATCTTTTCACAACTGCAGAGAAGTGCTTGGCGTCTGCACCAAATATCCCAGTGTTTGCAGTACTGGGCCAGTGAATGCCTTGCCTCCACGGCCCCTCCGTAATGGGAGCTTCACCAGATCGGTCCTTCCTTCCGCCTCGTGTCTGTTAAGCACTTTCCAACATCATTAGGCTTTTGCTTCAAGGTAAGGCTGGCCTCCCTCCTCAAGCGGGGAAATTCACTCCGTAGCTAATTTATACTAGTTCACTGAAGCAAAACAACATTTTAAAAGTGTGTGTGTGCTCGTATAGCTTCATAAATTTACATGGAACAAGTGTACATTTGTTCCAACAGATTCCACAAGTGTAAGTGTTTCAACAGATATCCATACATACATTCAAGAGCAGAGTCTGGAATTCATCTGCTCAGCCTTTGGAAGTATGATTGGGTCTTTGGTCCATTGCATATTTATATTTTTTGGTGCTGTCTTTTAACTGTCAAAGGGGCACAAAATATCCATGTGCAGTGACTGGGGTTTGATGTCTAAGTGGCAGGTAGATAATGGAAAAGACCAAGTGCCTTAGAAAATATGAAAGGGTGTTCCAACAGAGAGTATATCTGTTTTATAACTTCCTCTCAGAAAGGGGCAACTATTGGCACCTCCCAAAAACAGATGATAAGGTGCAATCCTATGCAAGTTTAGACAGAAAAAGGCCCTCAATTCCCAGCAAGTTTGTCTAAACTTGCATAGGATTTTGACTTTAAAAGGCATTTGCATTACCAAGTTAGACATGCAGCAGGAGGTATCAACAGACTTGGAAGCACTTCAAGGATTGCAGGAGGAGCCAAAATGAAAAAAACCCAGAAGGAAAAACACGCGAATGGGGGAGGATTCCTACCCCCAGGAAGCTGAGTCTGCTCCGAGGGCATGGAATGCCAAATGGTCATTGGAAGTGGGGATAGGACAGAAAACTGAGCTCGGGGAGGATGCGGTATGGAGTCTCCTGGAAGAGGGCACAATGGCCAGAAATGCTCTTTCCTTGCCAATTCCATTGTTGCATTTCTAAGAGACATAAGACCCCAACTTCTG